CAGATGTTTCACACCTGATGCAGTCGCCATGATGTGTTGCTTCCAGGGGCCAAACAGACTGGAAGTGTATTACACAGGCCCAGTGTGGTGTGCTGCCAGACTGGAGACAGACTTGGCCAGGTGTGTGAAGGGCAAACTCAATTGAATTCATTTCTGCACATTCAGTCAAAGCAACCATCTCAGGACCCTTTGATCCCAGTTTTCACTGTCTGCCATGGGCACACGTTCCAGGGCAGAATTGGACCAAGGGTACTGATGAGATCTGGCAATTGCTATACAACATGCAAAGAACACGACTGGCAGAAAGAAACTATTCATTGGGTGGCTACAAAAGAGGGAATCCTGCTGTCCATGTGTGAAGCTAGGAAGTACAATGTGTGGTTGACAAAACTTCACCCAGATGCCAAAGCAAGATTTTGCCTCGTATTTTAGATTTCACTTTCATGAGGATGATACAAACACTCTGACCATCTGTTCCCTCAAATAACATGCTGTGTGGATAAAAAGACACCCACACTGAACTACAGTTGATGGGGATCCTTTTACTCTAAAGTCCTCTTGGGTTTTTTGAAGTTTTGGTTCTACCGTGATCCCAAGAATAAGCCATAACTAGTTCCTCATTTTAATCAACGAGGTATTAAGTATTCATTTTGTAATTAACAGCTAATCCACAAATCAAAATAGACTGTGATTAATTCCTAAATACCCAAGACCTGTCACAATAGAGGCAGTGTCATTTTAGCAAGGCTTAGAATGTCTCTGCAAGACTGAGTAAGGGCTTGGATCTACATAGAGTTAATTCAATCCAAATATATGATGATAAACTAAAATTTATTATAAAAATGGAAGAAAAGAACTTTTTGCAGAATAGTCAGTTATTTCACTGGTACTGACAGAAAAATATATTGCAAATGTAATGCACATCCTGTAGTTTGAATGAACAATGAAGGAATAGGATGCAGCTTTTCTCACGTGGTTTTATAAGAAAGTCAATAAAACCTTATAAGAAACATTGTTTTATAGATTCTCCTTATTTTAAATTCAAAATTTTTCTGATTTTTTAACTCATATGTCATGATCTATTTTAATCCCAAATTTCTTTTAGGGCTGGTTGCTTCTACAAAAATATATGAACACAATAGTCCATCATGAGTTTTTGGTTCAGAATTCTTTGAGGCATCCATGTTAACTCTAGATCTTTATGTTTAAAAAAAATGTGTATGCAATATACAGTCTCCAGGGTTCCAGTCCATAAATGCACTAAACATCTGTATCCAGACATTAAGAATTCTGCTTTGAAATATCTAACAGTAATTGTCTTAGTATTTGTGGATACTAGGAAAGGAGAGGATGCCACTTTCTTCATTAGCAGTATAGCATGGAATCACATCACAGATATGAAAAATGACTTCTTTTTTCCCTGTTGGGAAAAGAAAAACAAAAAAATAATAATAATGCAAAACCCAAACACATAGGGAACATAGACTCTTTCTCATATTTCTGTTAAATACCTCTTTTCTACCAAACAACATAGTGAAGGTGTTAGTTTTTTACTCTGAAAGCTACTGCATACTGATAATACTCATTATTGCACCACATGTCTATATAGAAAGAACTCTATCTTATGATTTTCATACACATGGAAGCATTTCACCTGAAATGTGGTCCTTACACACAAACTTTAAAGAGGTGATTATGGTGAGGCTCCTTGGTCCCTCAAAAGATTTGGGAGTTTGGAGAGTTTTTCTCTAACAATCATGAAACATATTTAGTGATGTTTTCTATCTTCTAGCCCAAAATATTATAATTTCAAAATAAAAATAGAGTATCCCTAAGATATCCAGGGGTTTGTGGTCTCCTATTCATAAGGTGTTTAAAATTATAAGTAGTGACTAAATTTTACGATTCCTTTTATCCCTGAAACATATTCCTGGAATAGCACATTGAAATATTTAGATGGATCACTGAAAATTTTATACTAAAGGGCTTTTATGATGAAAACTTGTAAAGTGATCATGTACTGATTGAACATTTTTCACAAATCCAAATTGTCAATATTGCGTTTGCTTAAATTTTAAAACTGTAATATTATAATACAATAAGATTGATGATTCATGCCTTGGTTTCAATTTTCTAAGTACAGTACATCCAATTAAAAATAAATTAGAAACTGGCTAATGAATAATCAGTAAATTGTATTCTTTTTTCCTTTTACCGTCTATATTTTCTTTTAATCTTAAATAATTTACTTTTATTAAAGACTTCTCTCTAATCCAAATATTTACCAATGATTTGATTCTTCTCTGGGTAAATTACAATTTAAGCTATATTAATTGAAAATGGTACTTGTAGATTTGATAGGAGAAATTTAATTTCTGAATGAAAATAAAGCTAGTATGTGCTAGTCTGTGTCACTTCTTCAGAAAGGGTGTCATAGCTAAAGATGATCAAATCAAAATCAAAGATTTGATCTCATAAAAATTAGAATGCAAGTTCTAAAATAATGATATCATTTCTGCCCATTTTGCTTTGCAGATTTTATGATGCATCAACTTTAGTAATAAATTATGAATATTTAGCAAAACCAAAAATACCTTCTGGATGATGAATGCTCATGTTCAGCTTTGCTAATATCAAAAAGAAATACATTTTTAAATGCAGAGTAATACTCCATTGTGTATAAATGCCACATTTTTTTAATCCATTCATCTATTGAAGGGCATCTAGGCTGATTCCACAATCTTGCTATCGTGAATTGTGCTGCTATGAACATCGATGTA